GAGAGAGGACAAGTTAGCCCCCCCTGCCACGAGCACACTCTGCCTTCTAAAGTCTACAGGCTTCCTCCCCCGTCAGCTGTTTGACTTTTGCATTTAGTTTCCTTTGATTCTCTCCACTCAATGTCCTTTCCGTTCAGCCCATCATGCCCTGCACTCCTTTCTTGCTGCTTTTTTTCCAGTATCTGCCACATACTCTCCTTTTTCCGCTCTTATTTTGATGTTCTGCTCCCAAAATAGCTCCCTCCTAGGACCTTGGTGTAGGGCATGTCTTCTGCTATGTGCATATGCAATGCTCAGCACAATAGGGTCCCAATCTGCTGACAGTTATCAGCCTGCTCATTTCAGAAGCATATGTGGCTATTAATTCACAAGTAATTATTCACTGTTTATCAGGACTCTCTAAGACCTGGAAAACCCAGAAAAGGGAAGAATAAAATAGACAACTCCTCTCAAAAAAAAGTCTCACTTTGTGAAAGTCATGCAGGAGAGAAATAGCTGAAAGGACAGCATAAATTCCCAAATCTCAAATCCCAATTAAATTCCTCGACAATGAATCCATCCTCCCCAAGGACTGGCTGATTTCCACAATCCCTCACCCTGCTTGTTACCATTCAAGGATGACCTAACTGCTCCCTGCTTGGACAGTGAGGAATCCGAGACAACACATTAGATACCTCCTGTCAAAGCAACATCATCTGTGAAAAAATTCATACGGACCAAACAGCTCCAAAGAGCTGTGCAGGCAGAAGGGAAGGCAGGATTCATCCCTTTTCCCTTAAGACAATTAAACAATCATGGCTCTGAGGATCAGAACAGGCCCAAGAGTGGCCTCTCCTGTGTTGTCATCAGACTCAAAGGGAAGCAAGCTGCCTGCTCATCTTGCTGGGGATCTGCCGCCGGCTCCTGGCACAAAGTGAGGTCATTTCTTCTCACCGTTTAGTCTGGCTGCCTGGTTTGTGGGCGACCCCTTTCCTCTTCATCAGCTTCTCCACTGTATTGGGGTGGATTATTGGCCTGACTGGGTGGCGTTTATAAGTCCCAGGGTATTTCTTTTCCACTGCTTGTTCCCTCCTGAAACAGTGGGAAGAAAAAACCAAAAACCAACCGTAAACAGATCAGCTCTCTCTTTATCCAATTGCAGCTCCTCTTGGACCGAAACACAGCTCCACTGTGGGCACACTGCGTGCCTGTCTCTCAGCTATGGCAGGGTGCAACACAACATGCTGTTCTGGGAGAGGACACAGTCATTTTCTAAATTCCCCCTGCAGAGATCAGGCAGTTGGAACAGAGCCCTGGCGCACAGACCAGAAACAGCACTGCTTTTCTCTTGACAAAGGGGCCAAAGGATGCCAACACCAAATGGGAAAGGTGCCTTCTCCCAGTCAGTAAACACTGGGTAAAGGTATGTGCACTAAGCAGTCTGCAGTAAGCTACTCTTGAGAGGCCTCTCTGCTTGCCAGCTCTTTCTTTACCCTGTAAGTTTGTCAGGGGACACTAAATCTGCAAGTACCACCATGCACTTTAGAAATGACGCGTTGGATTTTTAATCCCACACGCACATTGCCACCTGCATGCCATGCCATTGTGCCCAGAGAGACGTACTTTATGAGCTCCTTCTCACGGACCTCCAGCTGCAGCATAATAGCACTGAGCTCCATGTATAAGTTGTTGGCTCGCTCCAGCTTCCTCTCATAGTGTTCACGGATATCCAAAGCATGTCTGAAAAACACAGAAGTCATTATTCCACAGTCTGATTTCCACAACCAAGAAAGGACAGTAAGGAAAGGCAGAAGTGCTTTAGGAAAAGGCCTTCTAGAAGTCCGATTTTGCAGCTGTGTTGCACTGAATCCCAGACAGAGCTACCAGTATATGGCGATTAAGAGCTTGACACAGCAATTAAGTCAGGATGTGATTTAGAAAGCATTTAACAGTCTTGAAATCGCAACGCTTCTCACTAGAGAAGCTGCAAATGCCTCACATGCACCCGCAGGGCCAAGCCCTGATGATCCTGTTTGCACAGAGAAGAGGCTAACTCAGCTGTATTTGCAAGTGTGTATCACAGAAGGTAACACTGTCTTTCTTAAATGAACATTCTGCTTTCATTTTTAAGTTGGTCTAATGTTCAAAATGAGTTTCAGTGGGCTGGTAAATTGGGGTGTGTTCACTTCTCTGGAAGGAACTAACCCAAAGGAAGTATCAGGGCAGAGAAAGCTCACAGCAAACTGCAAGATGCATTTTCCACTGTGACAGGGGTACCTGCTTCCGTGCTGTTATCACAAACACCAAAACTCAGGCAGCAATGCTCCCTGGTAAACACACAAGCCTTTGCCCATCTTGGCTGGAGCAAATGGTTCACACAGCCCAGAGCAGGGACAGTTTCCACTGTCTCTCTCCCTCTAGCTTTCCATCAGCCAAGCAGTGCTGGAGGCTTAGGGCATGCCCCAGGGAACTTCAGTTTGTGGACTCACAAGGAATTTAGGCTGCCTGAATTTATGCCACCAAACCTACTGAGTCCTGTATTGGGGTCCTCAGTACAAGAGGAGGACAAAAACAGGCAGGGGCTGCATGCCCTGTGAAGAGAAGCTGAGGGAGCTGGTCTCATTTATCTGGAGAAGGCTGAATGTAAACAAAAAAGACTGTCAACTGACCTCAGCTCTTCTCTTCGACGACGAATCAATTCTTCATCTAGCCGGTGGATACAAGTTCCTTCACTTTTAATCTTCTCAAAGTGTTTCTTCACTTCTTCTCTCCATTCAGCCTAGGAAAGCAATTTACTTTTAGCTATTTACAAAGAATTAGGATCCCTAGTTGCACCAAAGAAAAACTCTTGGGCAACATCCTTTGTGTCTGCAGAAAATTATGGTGTTGAAAACGTGTTTCTGTTAGCTTTTGGGTAACAACATTGCAGCATGTTTAGTTTCAGCATTTTCAAATGGTATTTCCAATTTTGTGCTCCAATTGGATCATTTAAAACATATCTGCATTTTCTAAAAAAAAAAAAAAAAGAATAGTTTTAAAAATTCCTAAAGCTCTCTTTGTCCTAAGACAACATTTTCTTCCCTTTTGCCACTTAAAGTAACCAGAAAGGCTTATAATTTGGAAAGCTATATTCATGACAACGATGACTGTCACTAGGGCAATTCTAACTCTGCCCCCTGAAACCCTGGTTCTTGCAGCTTTAGTAAGCGCACCCACTTCCTCACGTACAACCCAGTGTTGTGTGATCCTCTACGCTGGAGGCAAGGTTTCATTCCCCTTGGAAGCAGATAATAGCTCGCTGGGTAGGACTCAGAGGAATCTCTAAGAAAGTACCTTTAGATCTCCCCTGGAAGTCCCAGAGCTCCTTCTCTGCCCTGTGACAGCTCTCTGTCCCACAGGCTGCCCTGCTCATCCTCACTATAAATGCAATGGTTCCGCTCTCAGCAGTCTCCTGGTGTCCTGTACAACCGTCCTGGGAGAACAGCTGGGAGCAGAACATCTGAAGTCAGCAGCCTCAGGGAGAAGCAAATGAGTTGATGTTTTGTTTCAGACTCAAGCCAGCAGATGTCTCCGTTTGTGAAAGGTTGGGGAAAAGACTTTCAAAATACCCATCAGTTTGCTTCTCCCCAGGAATCAACTTGGATCCAGACTTCCACTGTACTCAATGCAGCCCCCAAAATCAGATCCTTGGAGCTAACTCCAGTACTCACGGGCTACAGCCATTCTCCAGTTACCTGCGATTTGAAATAGGTTTCCTGAGGAGTAGCCAGCACATCAGCAGATGCGATATCCAGGTGCATCAGTGTCTGCCGAAAGGAGGGACGATTCCGGGGCTTGCTTTGCCTGGAGCAAAACAAATACCAAAGCATGAGATGAGGGCAACATTGCTACCTTCTCCTACCCTTCCGAAAGGGCTTCTCACTAGAACATGTTCCCTGAATCGTGTCGCTGACAAATTAGAGCAAAGGAGATTTTCTGGTTTTCTCTTTTGCTGAGTATGAGTTTATTGAGCTAAAGTTGGTTTGTATTTGGTTTTTGGGTTGTGATGATCTATTCTGAAGAAATGAAAGAGGTGAAAAACATTTAAAATAGGAAAATGTGATTACAAAGTGAAAGACAGGACACAAACTGAAACTGGTCCTAACCTGTTTGTCAAGAAGAAACAGATCTTCATTATCCCATCAACTTCCAGATTTTACAACTGGAATACTCAGTCTAGTAGAAATGATAATTCACATTCAAAAACCCAGGGTGTTTATAAACTCCAAACATATCTTTGTAGCCACATAGTACATGCCTGAGCCAACACGGCACAGTCATGCGCTGAGCATCTCTGTAAGATCACATCCAGGTACAAAGACATTTCTATCTTTGAGGAAAGAGGCCAGCACTCGAGCTTCAGGACTGAACCCGCCAGTCTTGCTGCATGGATTGAGTGCTCAGGACAAGAGCTGCTTCAGCCCTCTTTCCCCTGCAAACCACCTGCTTCCACTGGGTGGGGATACAAGTGCACGTACTGGGTGCTCCGAGCTGCCCGAAGTGCTGCAGCCCAGCCGGGCAAAGCACGCCTCCAGATACTCCGGGCCAGGGGGTAAACAGCCACAGCAAACGATCCAGAGATGCTCTGACCCATTTTTCCTTTGTGCCGTCAGGAGGACGGCTGGTAAAAACTCAAGGAGTGGGAAAATGCTGGAAGACCTCTAATGCTCTGTCTCAAGATGCAATTACAGAGACAAAGCATTAATGCATATCTAGAGACAGAGAATTTCAGCTCTAAGGTGACATGTGGAGGAAACAAAGCATTTTCCGTATCTGTTCCTGTAAAATCCTGGCTTCATACAGAAAGCTCAGATTTCTTTTTGCCCAGTTCAAAAGCCCGTCACTTACAAGGGGGTTTCACAGTGAAAGATCATTTCCCTTCATTCTGAAGCCAGCCTTAAGAAATTTTACCCCTACTTTCCTTCCAGGCCGTTGTCTCTTTCCACAGAGCTACCTTTCATCACCTACTTTGCTACAACACAGCAAGCACCTCTGTGAAGGCTACTGCAGATGACTGTCATGCTGCCTGCTCCTGATTCCCAACTCACGGGTAACTGTCACCGTATGGGGCTCCCATCAAGCTCTACTCTCCCACTTCTCTCCTGTTCCACTCCTTGCCCCTCACTAGCCTGTCTCAACAGTGTCTACCCTCTCCCTCGCCTGCCCATCCACCCAGCAGACCACACAGGTTTCTTCCTACTTCCTGTAAGCTCCAAATGTCCTTCTGGAGCCCGGGCCTGCTGCCACACGGAAGCAGAATCCAAAAGGTTAAAACTTATTGCTCTCGTGATAAGTGTGAAGAGTATTTAAGAGCTGTCTGCTCTGGGCTCAACACTCCCACCCTGGCTCTGGTTTCATCGGGAGTTTCATTTCACTGGGAGTCTGGCAAGCACTGGGAGCCAACCCGGCGTCTGCGCAGTGCAGGGCTCAGGCTCTTACCAGGTCTGCTTCATGAGGATTTTGAAGCCATCTGGGCAGGTGGAAGGGACAGGAAGGTGCAGGCTGTTGCTGCCCACTCCCCAAATGATGGCCGAAGAGTCCACGTCCTTGTAGGGAATCTCTCCCGTAAGCAGCTCCCACAAAACTACCCCGAACGACCTGATGAAGAAATAAACCAGGTTAAGAGCTTCTGTGTGAATCCAGTTTAGCAGAAACATCTGGAGGTTGGAAAAAAACCAAAACACTGTTTGCTTGGCAAAACAGGGAAATAGGTATGTCTGATCTCAAACTGCACGTAGATGCAACGGTGTTTACATACTAGTGTTTAACCAAGAGTAGCTACTGCACACACCAGTTAACGCTTCCTCCTCTGCCCCAGCCCTGGGCTGGACACCTGAATCCAGTTTAGCAGAAACATCTGGAGGTTGGAAAAAAACCAAAACACTGTTTGCTTGGCAAAACAGGGAAATAGGTATGTCTGATCTCAAACTGCACGTAGATGCAACGGTGTTTACATACTAGTGTTTAACCAAGAGTAGCTACTGCACACACCAGTTAACGCTTCCTCCTCTGCCCCAGCCCTGGGCTGGACACCAAG